GAGAGAGAGAGAGAGAGAGAGAGAGAGAGAGAGAGAGAGAGAGAGTTTCAGAGATACAGAGTCAACCACGGGAGAAGTGAGAAAATTAAGTGGGAGGGGTGCGCTGTGCGCTTGCCTCATCCATCTTCGCGTTCAAGGTGGTGAAGGTATCACTTTGAGCTATCTTAACCTTGGTGGAAGGCGACGGGTTTCGGAAATACCGTCTTGCGAACCTAGGTGCGTGCGTGCTTTGAAGGACGGAAAATATATACCTGTCAAGTATTGCGGCGACGGCACCAAAGCAGCAAGCAACCTTGGCCGCGTGTGTCTTCATCGCCGCCACCTCTTCCTTAATTAACTCCCGGCTGAACGACACTATCGCCTCGGTCACCTCCGCCGCTCGAGCGGCCTCGATGGCGAGGAGTTCGTCTAGCTCTTCGCGACGGTCGGCGGACCCGAAAGCGGGACGGAGCTGTCGCTGGTGCTTGGCGCGGGCTGCTGCCCAGACGGAAAGCGAGCGCTCGAAGTAGGCCTGCTGGTTGGTAAATGGGTGGTGATCAGCGCTTGATACAAGAAACGGACGAACGTGAATTGAGGATGCTTGGAAAATGAAGGTGGCTACGAACTTCCTATGACGTTACCCGCGAGCGGGATATAGCTGCGCGTCACCTGCATCGCTTGCAAACTAGCAATCGACGCGAGCTGGAAAAAGGAAACGTGTATCCCTTCTGAATCGATCCACATCATTTTAAGGTTGTGGTCAAGAAAAGTACCCTGAAGCCTTGTGAAAAATACTTAAAGTGCACATCATTCAGTCTGCGCACCTCGCGCTTTCGCCTTCGAACGAATGCTTGCTGTTCCAGCCTTGAAGATAAGTCGAGCATCATCACCGCCGGAGCGCGAGGTCCGGCCGAAACATCGCGCGGCACGGGGCGCTTGGCCACAAGAAGCTCGAACCGCTCCACCTGTCCCGCAAGGGAAATAATTGGTCGATGAAGTGCATGCTCCTATCTACCAAAATACACTTGCTACTCTCGCTTACGCGCGACTCGTTGTGCATGCCCCATTTCGTTGTTTTAACCACTTGTATGCATGGTGATGTGTTTAACCACTTGTGAGCATGGTAAAGATGACCTAGGATTTGAACAAGTACGCCATTGTTTTCTCTGTTGGTTCATCGATCTGTCTGGCCAGCTGTCTGCCAGCATGCCGGTATTGGGAATCGCTCGTAGATTTCACAAAGTTGACAACCAACATATTCTTAGTTGCGCGCCCGGCCTCGCGTGGTCCTGGGTGCTTGCACGATGCTGGATGTATCGCTCCCCGAATGGGTTAAAGTTCATACGGTGTGAAAGTTCTGTTCGCTACGAGGTCATTGCGCATGTTCTTCTTCATCGTTTTCGTACTTCCTGTCCTGTCTGGACGGCGCATGTCCATTCGGCTGCACGCTGAAGGACGAAGGGTCTTCTTGCCATAGTTTGACAGCACTACAGTACAACAGATGCATGGGGTGTTGTTGTTGTTGTTGCTCACATTAGCATAGTCCACAAAAAATGTGTGTGGGCCATTGTTTGGCAGGCATGCTGGTGCCACTCGCCACTACCTCTTGGCTGCAAAACCCGTACTGCATGCCTTCCCGCTATGCGTAGCGTTGCGTATCTCTTCCTTCACTCGGAGCTTCCGCCAACACCCACCTGCCCTCTGAGTCGTCGTTTTGCCTCACTCCGGTGCCCGCCGTCGCCTAGAGCACGCTCACGGGATTCCCCAAGCCAGGCCCTGAGGCTCTCCGGGACGCCGGTCTCGTCCAAGAGCTCCTCCTTCCCCTCCGACTCGTACAGGAGGCGTGTTTCGGAGCGACACCGGGCCTCCAGGGAGTCAAGGGCGCCGGCGAACGTTTCCCCTTCCTGGGGCATGAGGGTTACCTGATGCGACCCGTCGTTTTCGAGGGGGCGGTAGTTTCCGTCAGGTGCGGGGGCGAAAGAGGAGGGTCTAAGTGCTTCGGATGAATGTGCGCTCCCGGCACCACATGATGCTTGCGAAGCTCTTGTCGAGTCTGGCGAACTTCGCGCAAAAGCACACCTGTTTCCACTTGGTGCTGGGATGACCTGCGGCGCAACACTGCTCTTTGTAATTGCTCAATCTAGAGCAGAAACCAAGAGCAAATCCTCTACTGAATTGTTCGTCTGGAAGCTTGGGAGACCTCTTGCAAGGTTTTCATTACCTCAGGGTCGATTTCATCCTCGCTCCCCTGTCTCTCCTCCTCCTCCTCCTCCTTCTCCGGTTGGTCTTCTCGCCCCACGCCGACGTCAACGTCCACCCCCGGCACGTGTCGGTTCCGATCCACCCTCTCAGGCGCGGGGAGGAACTCCAAGAAAGAGGCGTGTCGAAAGAGGGCCTCTCGAATCGAAAGCAACTTGCATCGCAGTAGTTGCGTTAAGGTCTGGTCGTCGTCGTCAGCTTCGGCGGGGGTGGAAGACGTGACCGTGTGATCGCTCCTCCTGTCTTGTTCTTCTTGTGGTCGGTTGATGCTCCCACCCCAGCCCGGCGCCTGTGTGCGTGAAGGGTGGGAAGGGATAGGTGTGGGATAACATGGGTAGGTCGACTATGTGCTGTGACGCAGAAAGAAGGTCGCTGTCCACATGCGTACTCGTTCAAACCAACACCCCGGGCGCCGCACCTCATTTATCGTATCTGTCCCAAAAAAAATCTACATGAAGGCCTCCCTCTCTTGCAGTGATTCCACAGTCATTGCCACTAACAACACCGATCGCGCAGGGATGGCGTCCAAGTCCATGCTCTAGCATTCAAACACATCCTCAGACAATGACGCTCATTTCTTCTTCTCTATCCACACCTTCTCGTCGAGCTTTCCGGCCAGGAAGTGGCCGGTATCGCTGACGTGATGGGGTACCAGCAACCCATCGAGGTCATTGAGGAGTCGATGTATCGTCTCCGCGCACCTCTCGTCTCTCATGATCACCGATCGAAGCCGCTCCTGGGCGTTACGGCGGGGGGCACCGTACCTTCACACGTTCGACACAAGGAGAAGAGGAAAAAATAAAACTAGCGCCAGCAAGAACAAGGGCAGCAGCGGCACGAAAGCGGTGTCAACTCGACGGATGAAGAGAGGTGAACAAAGACCTGGCACATATAGTTACGTGTGTTGATCACGTTCCAAAGCACGAGGTCAATTGACGAGAGGCGAGGAGTCGCAAGAAGCGAAATAAGAAACTAAGAAACTTTGCCGTTGCGTGCACTGGGGTGTTGTCATACTTTGCTGTGGGAACTCTGAGGATCACCCCACCCAGCCTATACTAGTCTGCTATTACATGGTGTAGCATACTCACCCAAAACAGCATGCTTCGGTCAGCGACGACCGCTTCCGTAGCACCATCACAACCAGCTGAACGGCCAGTGCACGTTGCACACAGAGACCGCATTTAATATGCTTGTTGTCTACTTCTACGACCGCGTCGTACGCGATTTGCACCGACGTTTTGGTCACCTTTGTCCGAGCCCCTCGCGAAGCGACAGCTCCATAACGCAGCGCGAGTGTTCAGTCTTGAACGTTGTCTCGTCCTCCGCGGCTAGCTTGTGATCTTCCGCAGCCTGCACCAATGCCTCCCGCCTCAACGCCACCGCTGCTGAAATCTGTGCCATCGGTGGCGGTAGCGCGGTGACGGCAGGGTGTGGTGGCTTCGGTTTGGTATCCCTTCGTTTCAGGCCTACGAAGTTAAGTTAAGCACACCCTGCTGTCATGTTGGCGCTCCGGATGGATCCGCATCTTCTTTTGGCCGTGGACGTCGGAGAGAACGCTGTCAAAGAGACTTGCGGGTTTGTCACCTCCTGTTCCGTTCCCTTGGTCTCAAAGATTCCTGAAAGTCCACTCTTGAGGTGCATATGCGCGCGTGCGTACGGTCCCCGATGACTTTTAATCTCTCGATTGGAACACTTGCCTCCTCTCGTGGGTCCCGGAGGAAGCTATCGAGCTCGTCCAGCTCCCGGTCGTCGTAGTCCCCTCCCTCAGCAAACGTCTGAAGATCGGCCGACAAGACGGGGGAGCGAGAGAAAGCGCTGAGTGTCTGGGATGTGTCACTGTGGTGCTCTTAGCCGTGTGGTGATGTGAAGTGTGTGTGCTGTGGTGTTGGGGATTGTACGATGGGACCCGTCCACAATCGATTTCCCGAAGAAGTTCACGAAAAAACCCGGACGTGAAACAGTCTACAACATTTTCCATGCCGAGCTTTCTACGCAAAGCATGAAACCCGGCGTCGGTTGACACGAATCCTTGCTTGTCGCAAGGAACAGCGAGAGAAACGGACGGCAAACAAGCGTGTCGTCCGCTGGCCGAGCACTCGAGAGCTGTGGTCCGCTGCGAGAAAGCCTACAGTTCTATTGGTCGGAGGTAGACAGAACGAAACATTATCTTGCGATGTTTCAACCGAAGGTGTGCAGTTGCGATGTCTCTATGAATCGTCGAAGTCTTTGTGAGGAAACAACGCGGAAGAACGTGGATTTGGATGCGTAGACTACTGCGTTCGTTACAAATGTTATGAACATCGTCGGTGACTGTTGCGAGGCATCGTATGAGTTCCCATGAGGCTCTACGACGCTGCATGAGACTGTGTAGGACCCCGCAGCAGGAACCACACATGAAGCTCCACCTCTCTACCCATGAGTCTGTTAAACGCTTCATGGCGCTTCATGATTTTGAGTCGTGAGCCTCATTGAGGGATTTTGAGGCGCCCGCAGCACGGTAAATATTGTGAAATCCTTTGCCATGAGATCCCTTTCCACATCTATCTCTCGGGGCACGTGTCTACAACATTGCACGCACTTTGCACAGCCTCGTCATGTCGTCGCAGCTGGCGAGCAATCTCGCCGGCTCTTCCCTGATGAACCTCTCCAGCCTCGGTTGGAGAGCCTCGTGCTCTGCCTCAAAGCTGGTCACGAGACGCTTGCACCTATGGCCATTTGGAATCGGAGTACAAGGCGCGGGGCGCGCAGAATGAGTGCTCACCGACGGAGAGAGAAGTTTGCAACAAAGATGGGCGCGAAGACGAACTCCGCCCCGAAAAAGTGTGGTTGTTAAACATCTCAAACGTTGCCTTGGTTGTCGTTTCAGTCAGACTTGCACCAATCACATAGTATTGAGAATACGATGATCCGAAAGCCGTACAGCGAAGGAGAGGACCTTAGCGACCAGTCTGAGGCTTGTTCTGAGCATGGGAGCATGCAGATGCTCTCTCTCTCTCTCTCTCTCTCTCTCGTCGCGCACACCTCGTGCATTTCCATATCTTCAAAGCAGGTTCTGTCGTCTTCTCACCTAGATTCCATGCCTTGCAGCGCCGCGACGCTGGTGGCGTCCTTGAGCCCTTTCGACACGCTTGCAAGCGCCTGCGAGACAGCAGTCCGGAGGAAATGAATGTCATTGCTACGACAATGACTGGCGTTGTGTACACATGGTCCGGAGGGGGAGATGGTCCACGATTCATACGTGTTCGAAAAGTGCTTCGACGTGTCCGAAGAATGTTTCGAACTGTTCATCGTTTCCGGCATGAAGAAACGTTGTAGTGCGACAGCAACGACTGGCCAGCCCCAGCCATTGCCAGCCATATTGACTCCGCATTGCATCATATTTATGGACCCTCACCCTCCACACCCCCGACAGAAAATTATCGTAGCGCAAGACTAGTCTGAGCATGCCATTGCCCTTGATCTTCTTGTGGGGGACTATCAACGGACGTACTCCTGGGGCGAAGTGTTAGATTTACGGTCGCTTGTTACTTCCAGAGTGCTGGTCGCGGGCGATAGTATACCCCTACGCACGCCATGCCCCTTAGCGAGGCGTGCCAACATGGCTTCGACCATCATTGCGCTTCCTGAGTGCGCAACACTGCTACCTTTTGAAAAACCTCTCGGGCGGACACCCCTCGCTGGAGCTCGTCTCGGAAGGCCTTCTCCTGCTCTGACAGCTTGTCTCGGACTTGCCGGACGAATCTACAAAGGTAGGTCATGGCCAATACACAACGGAGCAGACCAATAGTGAAAATTTTGGCGTCGGTAGCATTCCTTTTCGACGGCAGATTGGAGCATCCGACACTAGTCAGCATGGCGATGCCGACCTGCTTGTTGATCTATGTTCTCTTTCTCTCCCGATCTCCTCTCTACCCTTTGCTGATTTGGTCGAGGTGTTCAAGTTGGACAGCAACAAGTAAAGACAAAACATCTGCTGAATGAATCATCAAGCGATCATGAAAGCAGGACTCTTTGCGCGTGTTCTGTCGCTTCTAACCAGAGTTCGATCAATGGGTTCTGCTTACTTTGGCCTTGCCTTACCCTTCCCTTGTACCCTTCGGACTTAACAATCTAGGCGTAACTCTCTCTTGGCCTCGAGAGTGGTTGATGTACTCAGGGCCATCTGTGAAGCATTGTTGTTACGCTTGTGGCCTAGGAACTTCGCGTCTTTGCCTCGAAGAGTGCAGAAAAACAGGTAGAACAGCACAGCAGTACCTTAAAACGCTTTTCGTGACCACAACAGCAAAGAAACGCAACCACAATCACCATCACCACCGCCACCAACAACTACAACAACAATAGTCTTCGGACGAAAGTGCACCCTTTTATCTGTTTTTAACGTCATTTGCGAAGGAATACCTGCAATAGGAGATAAGTCAACTTGGACCCAATTATTTTCGCGTATAGCATGTTACCTTCGGGCTTTCTGGCGGTGTGCGTGCAGCTCGCCCTCACGCGGTTGCCGCGACCCCACCTTCATGTTGTATTCGTCAGTTGAGCAGACAGGCGGAATCCGACAGGAATGGCGTTTTCGAGAGAAAGCAGCAGGCGGAAGACACTTTCCGGTGCGAACAGAAAGGGAGCAGGTACATGTCCCAAAGCATGGATTCCAATGCATCCCGCGAATCTCGTCATCACCCACCGGTCAAGGCGGGGCCGATCCGCGAACAAAACATGTGGTATTGATACCGTTACCGGCTCTTCATCGTATCACGCAGCGGCCTTGATCACTCCGTCACTCAGAGTAAGGTTGGTGTTATGTGCTCGGAATGGGGGGACACCGCCTGCGAGTACAGACTCCCACTTTTTCAAGAACTTTCTCCGCCCATAGCAGGCGAACGCCCCTTTATCATTTTTGCCACGTTACCTAACCCCAATCACAGTTTCACCAAAAGCAAGTACCTTGTCGCGGTTTCAGTCCACCATCTGCAGTGAAAACTTCCACTCTATCGACGAGAGGCAAGACACGTGTTAAGGTAGGACACACCGCCGCACCTCTGTCCTCCCCTTCCGCGGCCAGTGCTTCCGCAGCCGCTCCTCGAGCTCCTCGGACAGATACTCCTGCGCCTCGAGACACGCGCTCTCGGCCGCCGCCACCCTGACCGCCGCTCTGGTCTCGGTTCTCGACACCAGATCGTCCCTGAGCGAGGAGAGCAGGGCCGAGGCTTCCTCCACGGGCATCGACAGCTGCGGGACGCACATGCACACAATAACAACAAAGAAGGTTCAGATAGGTCTGGACACTAACAATATTTTTCAGGTGTTGCGTTGAGCTGAAACGTTAGCTCCTGCCTTTGCTTTTTCGGATGTGAGGGGCACACGATGGACACATCGTGGTGGTTGGGTGGCGGACCTTTCCGCCGCCCTTGTGCTCGAAAAAGGTTCGAAGAAACACCTAAATACTACGATCTCGACTACTGAGTGGATGCAACGCTACCGTAGGTGGAGGAGGTTGTAGAGGCAGTCAAGGGGAAAATCCCCATTTATCGAGCGCTCGCTCCTCCTCGTTTTCGCCTCGAAGCTGACCACCCGCCACCCCCTCCCTAAGAACGAATTCATCTGGACAACCTGCGACCAACAGCGGCATACTGGCTGGCTGGCTGACAAGAACCGACCTCTTCCATGACCGCTTCTCCCGTCGGGTCCCTCGGCACGAGTCTCTCCTCCGCCCGCCGCCGCGCCGCCTCTTCCTTACGGAACTCCCGGTGCCGCTCCACCTCCCGCTTCACCTCCTCGTACGCCTCCAGCACCGAAGGGGGCTCGGGCGACATTTCCAGCGCAGCAACCTCTTCCGGGGTTGGTGGTGTCGGCGCCGCTGCCCCCTTGGCCGGCTTCTTTCCCTTGCCGCCGCCGCTCTTGCTGCCCTTCTTGGCCGCCTTCTCCGCCTCTTCCTTTGCTTGCGCGCGTGCCGCGGCTTCGGCGTCCGCGGCCGTTTGGAACCGCTCTACCTCCTCTTCGGAGAGCTCTCGGAACCGCCGGTCCCTGGAGAGAGAGAGAGAGAGAGAGAGAGAGAGAGAGAGAGAGATAGAGGGAGGAAAGTGGGTGGGGAAACGGGGCATAGAGACGAGACGTGACAGCCTTCGCCACGCTTTCCAGAATGAACGGCGGTCCTCTACGCATGACGTTACAACGCCGCGCAAAGATTTGGAGTCCTGTACGTGGGAACCCGTGATGTTTGTCTCTAACGTAGCGAGGCCTTTCAGTCCTTGCGCCTCTCTCCCCCAGACACATTGACCGCACCTCCTGTCGAAGTATTCCTCCAGGCCTTCCTCTCCCTTCTCAAGCTCTAGCGCCTGCAGGTCCTCTTCCTCTAGAGGCACGAAATTCCCCCTCCAGTACCTCGGAAGATTTTTTATGGCGGCAGCAGCAACGTCCGCGGCAGACATGGAGGGTTCTCCTTTTCCCTTCCCTTTCCCCTTGCCCTTCTTGCCGTCGCCACCGCTCGCCGCCGCATCGGCTGCGGCAGCTGTTGCGGCGCCGTGACCCTCTTCCCCCTGCGGCGTTGTATCTAGTCCGTCATGGTCTTCGTTCTCTTCATCGGTGGCGCTGCCGGTCTCGTCTCCTTCTGCGCCCTCTTCGTCGACAGAGAAGGACAGGAGATCCTGCGCGACCTCGTGTGGGGTACGGTCGACGACGTAGTCGATCGCACCGGCGGAGGCATCGCCGCCACCTCCTCCCGGTGCCCTGTAGATGACGGGTTTCATGTCACTGTTGTCGGCTTCCTCTGGACCGTCAGATGCCGGCGCTGCACCTTCTTCTTCGAGCGCCGAGGCACGTCGGTCTTTGGTGTTGCTCTGGCGCAAAAATTTCGTCGGAGAACGGAGGGTAAGAAGATAAGTTCTAAAGGGGATTCGACTTGGACAACGCTGTTGGAGGGTCACGTGTGTTGTGACGGGATGCAATCTCGGCTTCCCGGCTCCCTTAGCGGAAGCAGTATCATCGCCAAACACGAAAGCCGAACGTGGTGACGTGCGAAAGATCGAAAGCGGCTCCATGTATCTTCCCGCTGCTAGCCGCGGACGGCGTGTCCACGTGTGTTTCAAAGAAGCACCATGAGCGTCTCGTACCTCGATGGAACCTTCTGTGACCCCATCTTCAATTGGAATGCCCATCGCCTTCCGACAAGTCGCGTACAAGACCGGACAACGACAATAAGTGCGGGGGCATTTGTTCTCGTTTCGACTAGTTACTCCCGCCGTGCCTCTCCATCCAGATGCCATATCACCGCCATCGGAACCTCTCCGCCAGGTATCGGACAAAAAAATATGACAATAAAACACATCCTGAAGGATAGCATCAACTAGGTGAAATCTAAGATTTCTAGATTTTCCGGCACCTTTCAGCCAATCTAGCGTCCTACAAATAGTGAACCGCGGGCAACGCTTTCCCACGCACCTCCTCTTCGTCCTCCGTCACCGCCTCCTCCGTCCGTTCCCCTATTCGGCCGTCACCGTCGCGGCCCTCAGCGTGGGGAGTCTCCGTCATAGCTGGGCGGGGTGGGTGCAGCCCCACCAGAGAGCAAATGGTCGCACGTACCCGCTCCGCCTCCTGCGCAGCTTCGGCCGGATGTACGGCGGCCGCCGTGAAGGCGGTCTTGTGGTACTCACGGTAAGACTTTTCCACCTGCGGGTTTGGCACCAAAATGTGCACAGCAGATACACTTAGCGCCCGCGCATAAGAAACGTCAAGTTGGGATCGAGGTTCGATTTCTTTCATTCGTCACCACCGTCGAGCATGGGTTGTTTAATAGAGTGCAGTGTAGAATCCACGGCTGAGGTGTGTTCATTTTGTCGATTTGTCATATTATTCACCAGAATCTGAGCCTTTGCTTCTTTGTGGTTGGCGGGGGCTCGCTGTAGCCCTGTGGTCCTGTGACCAAATGTAGGTTGGGATATGAAAGGAGGGAGGTTGGAGGGAGACACTAGGTAGGAGGTCTAGGTACCTGTTCGTGGTGTTGAACAAACAGTGGAATTCTCTGCGGGTCAATTTTCCTGGCTCTGCTCTTCCCTTTCCATTGTCGCCATCAAAGAAATACATTCCTCTTCATTTTTCTATCCAAACGCGAACTCAACAGAAGTTAGGACGAAGTAGGCCAAACTATCGAGTATCCTCTATTTCTACTATGCCTTCCATCGCCTGACCTGATCGAGGAGGTCCATAACCCTGGCGAACGACGTTTCCAGCTCGTTTTCGTCTGCCGCCATCCTCACCCTGGACGTGGACGTCTTGACGTCGTCCTCCTGATCCTCGTCGGCTAGCCTAAAGTCCTCCTTGCACTCGAACATCTTATTCAATTCGTTTGTAGAGGATGGGCACAGGAGGAAAAGTAAAAGCCGAACCAAGCGCGAAATCACCACTACTCGAGATGAACAGGTGGGTTTAGGCAGGGCTGTTAGTGTTGATGATGTCGCCGTCCGCCGCGGCGGGAAAAATAAATTAAGTATCACGTTGCACGATTTCGGCGCACTACAACTTTTTTGCGGGCACGCGGCAAAAGGCTAGGGATTCACAAAATACTTCCTCTGTATCATAAGTTAGGGTACCTAAATTTGTACGGGCCCTTAACCGTGTCCGATCTGTTTTTCGATTTTTTTGTTGAAATCTTCGTAGTTTTTTTAGCAAGAAACATTTATTTTTATTTTTATGCATGCGCCACCCCGCGTGCATGAGCGCCCGAGAAAAAACCAGTCGGCCTGAAAAAGGCCGTATTTTGCATGTATTCTACCCCCTCCGACCAGGCGACCAGGCGGGGGGGGCGGGGCAATGACAAAAACAAGGCAAAAATACCAAGAATTATCCCTGACCCTAAACCTAGCCTCCCCTCTACTCAACGATCCATGACGCGTCCCCCATACTAAAAGCAGCATAATAGTGGCCCCCACACTGAAAACAAGACACTTGGGGGGACCACACTAAAACCAAGACACTTGCGGGGCAAAGCAAGCAACAGTAGGGCCCTCATCCAACCCCCCCCTCTACTCAACGATCCATGTCGCGCCTCCTATAATAAAAGCAGTATAGTAGTGAGCCACACTAAAACCAAGACACTTGGGGGTCACACACTAAAATCAAGACACTTGGACGGGTACTTCTTTCCGACACCGTAGCGTTCGCAGATCGGGTCAAGCACGCCCTTGGGAATCGTTGACAACCCCGGCTGAATGCCCATCGCAATTTCTACCGCCATGGCATAGCGCCTACCAACCGATAACTCGGTGCCCCTTTTGCGAGGTGGTGTGCTGGGGGGCGATTCCATCGCTAGAGTGAGTAGTGGGCCGGTAGGGTACTAATATCAGATGGTTTTGAGATTTTTTTCGAGAATTCTCAAAAACAATCCCATAATATTTTCTCGAAAATATTCCCAAAACAGGCCAAAATAGGGTATATTTTGACCGATATTAGGTACAGAGATAGATGTTCGTTTTTTTATTTTATTTTTTCTATCGCTTCTTCTTTGTTATATCTTTCTTACAAACCCGACTATGCTACCATCACTAACACGGTTGCACCCCGACAATCTATTGCATTTAGGTACCCTAACTTATGATACAGAGGAAGTATGGGACAAGGGATGGATGTGCGCGGGTTCCAGATTTCAAAGACGCGTAACACTCATGAGCTTAATTGATGATCCAAGAACACGCTGCTTCACGACCGCACCCGCTGCTCCCCGGACTCGTCGATATTGGCCTCGATTTCTTCGTGCGTCTCTACTTCCAAGGCCACGGCCGCGAAGAAAGAACAGACACGCTCGGCGCAGGTGTGGAGGCTTTGGGCCCTCGCGTCCATGGAGCGCAAGGCACGTTCCATCAGCAGCGACTGTTCCGAGAACCTTGCTGCGAGCTCGCCGTCAGCCTGGTGTTCGATTGTGACGTTGCAAATGTGGTTTGACTGTTACTTGTTGTTGCTAGCCGATGGTGACCAGAGAGGAGCACACGCACGAAAGGGTGAAAAGGTTGTGCAATGAAACTCCAGCGGAAGAAGCGCCACCGTCGTTTGCCATCTTTGGAAAGCAAACCATACGACATGGAGGAAGTGACTCGGGGGCGGATATCACACGGCCAATATTCAAAATACAGATGTGGACGGCGCCTCCGATCTACGACCGGGAGAGATGTCTCATTAAGCTTTTGCCTAATTGACAAAGGCGGATAATGGAGTCTGTCAGCCACGATTGTGGGCTCAGGACTCAAGCTTGCCCACAATAAAACGTTTAAAAGTCTGTCGAGAAGGGCGTATTCGCGGCACGCGGGTAACGAAGCGTGGAGTGGACCGAGCAATTCAAGAGGTCGTTGGGAATGCATGGAATGGTTCTAGGACGATCCCACTTCGACGTACCGATATACTTCGGGGACGTACCGATTTACCTCGTAGTATCGTTGATAAGTTCTCCAGGGCGCGTCAGACAACCTTCATTCCCTCGCTCACCTCCTCCGACACTACAAGATCTACGGCTTTGTTGCACGATCGCTTCTGCTCTAGCGCGGCTCGAGTGCTCCGCAGCACCTCCTTGAACTCCTCGCTCAGGTCACTCGCGCATGCCAGCATGCCGAGTCGGCGCTGCACCGCGCGCACCTTGAGCGGTTCGACCCAAGGTAGGCATACATCGATTCCGCATCAGTACGACGGCAAAGCGGAACGGGTGTGTGAAGCTCAGGAAGAGGCGCCGGGACTCTGCCTGGCTCGTCCGGCACTTCGGGCAGCATGGTGCGTCAGCATTTCACATATGTACGGCGGCGTCGCATTTTGGGATACAGGGGGCGTTTCTGGCAGAGGATGGTGGAGAGGTGACCTTCTTTGTGCTTCGAAAGTCATGACAAGGTTGAAAGACACATCTGTGTGAATCCAGATCGGGGTGGTTCGCGTCGAACCGAGAACCGCATCGTTTTTTTTTTACCTGGAGCATGTCGATCTCGATTTCTGACTCCCAACCGCCGCCCCTCGAGGTTGTCAAGCGGCCTGGTCCTGCCGTGCTTCTCGAGCCGCCCCGGCTGCTTCCGCTGGCGCTCCCTCCACTATCACCGGACACATGAAGAGTGGCAAACAAGTGTGCGGCAGGTTTGAAAGGAAACAATCGACCGGGTAGCACTTAATCTCTGTGTTAGAAACAGTGCACGTGAGAATGAAGGCGGGAGCAGGGGGCGACCGTGTAGATTGCAGTGTTTTTCCGCCTTTCCCGCATGTCTCCACTTCCGACGTTCTGTGGCCTGAGTCATCCACCTCGTCTTATCCAGTGTCGAGAACCCTAGTTCCGGTGGTGGTCAGCTCGTCACCTTTCCAGGGCTCGTTCCTGTGTTCAGTGCGGTGGATGAGTCTGTCACACCATGGTATTGCCACTGAGCCACCCCGCAACGCATGGAAAACCCTGGCTCCATCTACCTTGGCACACTACGCGCGTACATTCGGTGCAACAGGAAACACAAACAGCACCTTTTTGAACCCTTTCCTCGGCTTGACCCCATGCCGCTCCTCTTGGAAACCTGACTCCCGACCGAGGCCGCTCCCCCGCCACGCCCACCGCTGTCGCTGTCTCCCCTCCTCTCGATCGTGTCCACCACGCGGTCGATGTCTTCCGTCGCGTGGTCAAGACAGGCGGCAAGCATGGGGTCGATATCCACCACCTGCTTGTGACGCCACAAGCAATATCGGTCGAGCATGATGAATGGCATCAAAGAGGTAACCTCTGTTGTGCGTTAGCTTCTGACTTAAGGTTAACGTAGCATGCTGGGCACGTATGGACGCCGGCCTGAGGTAAGAAGCCTGCGGCGGCGTCGCGTGAGAGTGTACAGGAGTACGGCTAACCGAGGACACCGGCCTGTTCGCTTGACAGGGTACCTGCGAGAGATCTGCCGCTTGGCGACGCATGGCGTCGAGGATGGATGGTATGCCGCTCTTGGGCGCCTTGCGCAGTCGCTCGACCGAGTCCGCCAGACCCCGACGCATGCCCGCCTTGCCCTGTTTGTCGAGAACCCTGCATCGCAACCGGGGAATGGGAGGGGGAATACGTCGTTTCCGCGCCAAAGGGTCGCTCATGGCGACAGCCTGTGTGCCGAGGCGCCTTTCCTTTGTTCTGCCTCGACCAGGTCCTTGGTGCTCGTTGCGGTGTATTGGAGGTTTTGTCAAATACGTATCGTTTAAGAATCAAGGGCATGTGTCGCTCTTCCGGCTGAGGTTAGTTTTCAGATAGCGAAAAAAGTGGATAACACCTGATCCTAGAGAGAGCTTTGCTGCTCGACAAAAGCGTTCTCCACCAGAAAATATGGTGAAACCCAGTGCTTTTCCCTCAAATCCGTGCTGCACTCCACATCAGCACCGTTCTGCGGAACGTCAAAGCTTGCCCAAACCATCGCCATTGAGGGCAAAGGAGACTACTCATCAAGGTTTATTGTTGACTCACAAGGAGCAACGAAGTGATTTAGTTCGACCCCTTCATTTTTTTTTTTCGCCCTGATCAGTGAAGTACTGATGTGCGATGATCTATGGTGTTTAGACCGCGAACATGCATGACAATGGTGCAATGTCCCCCTTGCCCTCGGGACTCAACGTAGGGGACACGCCATTGTTGGCATTATTTCGCCATCCAAGCAGAGAGAAAAGAGAGGTGCGAACCGGTCATGTACACACCTGTCGCTTTGTCCCTCACCGCTCAAGATCCACTCCGCAGAGCACCAGGTCGGTCCTCTCGATAGCCACTGACACCCAGCTGTCGTACATGATTTCAGGGCTTCGCATGCCCTGCGTTCATGTTACCCGGTCGGGGCATAGCGTACGAGCAGAGTGGTGACTGATCTATTCCGTAGATTTCGAAAACACCCCGTTCATACGAAGGTTGCCCCAGATGCCCATTGGGCTCGGAGCGGAGGCTCGACTCGATATTTTCGTGAAACCCGGAAAAAAAGCGTGCTTGAATTGTGATGGTTTGATTGGGTATTAAGTGAGAGTAGAGGTTTGTTGGGAAAAGGGATGAGTTTCGTTGTACACATGGGAAAATGGACACACTGTGGCACCCCCCTACCGGTCACAACATAGAAGCGCTGCTTGTTACCAACGTCCTGCGTATTCAACATCGTTGAGCGCTATCTCTGCTTGCACCCCCGAAAAACAACCTTCGAATGGCATTGTCCATTGAGCACGAGCGTTACAAAACCAAACAGCAACGACACCGTCCATCCCCTCCTCAGTCCGCCTCGCCGCGCTTCATCCCTCAGCAGCAAGAACGAAACCTGGACTAACCTGAACCAAAGCCAGCAGCTCGTGCTTGAGCCCGCCGGCCTTCCTCATGAAGTCTTCCAGGCCGCGGTCGTGCGCCACGGCCTCCACCTGCACGCAGCAGGCCTCGAGGTCCGGCTCCGTGCACGCTGCTCCGTAGCCGTGTAACTCCGCCCTGACCGCTTCGCGGCGCGCTTCGGACTCATTCCGCTTGGCTTCGCTGTATTTGTGCCACACGATGTTGCGTTGTGTTTGGTTCTTGTCATCCTAGCGACCATGGCGGAAACAAAAACTAAGATGATGTAGTCAGCGGAGAACCTGCCTCTCAGGCTGGCGTTTCGCGGGCGTGGGCACCGACAGCAGCCGTTCATCGACGGGTTTCCTGGATAGTCGAATCTCGAGACGACATGTATCGACCGACCAATGTTTATCCCGGATGGCTTACGCCAGAACGACACGCAAGGGCGAGACGAAGCGAAGAGCTCTCCCAACGTTGCTGCTGTGAGACGCTACCAAACCGATAATGGTGTAATACATACTCTTTTATGATAAACTTGTCCTCGCCTCGGGCTTCCGTTCGGCCACTCTTCGTTCTTACGAGTCACGGAACCCCTCACCGGATGCTCCCGAGACCTTCTTGCGCCGCCAAGATGGCTGCGATCTCTTCCCCGTGCAAGGTCGCGTACGCTTCTCGAATCTCGCGGACGGCCGTCGTCGTGAGCCGCCCCTTTCGGACAAATAACACAAAACACGCCCGGAGGATCGCTTCATTCCTTACTGAAGCACGCTTTCAGCTCGAAGCAGCGATGGATCCCGTGTGCACAGCGGTACCATGACACAAAAAAGTCCCCTTTGGTCTACATCAAGGAAGTCGTTTTCCAAACCGAAGGCGCCAGAAGAAGTGTTGGCTGGAAGACAAGCAAGACGTGCTTGACATGTAGCGAGTGGACTGACACTGAAGGAAAAACAGCTGGTTTCGCTCTGGGACACTGACGAAAGGAACACCAACCCCGGCCTGAACTGTATGTCGAAGGGTTCGGACATGCCTAGAAACAAGACGTTTTGCAGCTGCCATCTTTTGGACAAAAAACCCGCATAGCACCTCGTCTGCTACAACTGCGACAGAACCTGACTAGGCACGCACACCATTTGTCGTAGTGAAAAAACGTATCCACACTTCCCCCCACCTCTGATGCATCGTCCGCGACTGCCCCAGGGGCCGATGAATCGACGGGCCGCCGTCGACAGAGATCCCTCAGCAAGGCCACTCGCTCTGCGTGTCGCAACACCTGCCCTTTCTTGAATTCCCTGAACAGCACCACGCGCTCCGAAGGGTTGGTGAAGTTCGGCGCCGTCAGGTCTGTGTGGAATTGTACCAACGCGCGGTCGTGTCGCAATCGTCGCCAATCCTCCCTGCGAGTCTCCCACATCCTGGTTCCAAGAGAGAGAGAGAGAGAGNAGAGAGAGAGAGAGAGAGAGAGAGAGAGAGAGAGAGAGAGAGAGAGATAAACAGACAGAGAGAGAGACAGAGAGAGAGACAGAGAGAGAGAGAGAGAGAGAGAGAGAGGGGGGGAGGACAAAGGATGGCAAAGGTGACCGACCCAACACCACTTGTATTGCAGTGTATGCTACCGTGAACTCGACCTAGTTGTAACCTCCCTCGGTTGAAATCATAGCACAAGGAGGGCATATTCGAATGGTGCAAGACGGTCTCGAAACGTTTGTGACCGAGGGTCCAATCAAGGGCTAGGGAGGCAAGGTCATGATTATGCCCGGCTGTCAAATACGTGTTCAGGCGTGAGTAAAGCTGCCTCCCGTGCCCTGCTCACCACTGTACCGGTCGAGGTTACCATGATTTCAAAACGCACCTCCGAATTCCCACCGTGAAGGCAAAATCTCGTTTCTCCATCGTTCCCAGGAGCTCGGCATGAGCGAGGCGGTTGCTGATAAGCACCCCGTTGAGCTCGTGAGCGTGTTCCTGGCGACAACCACGAAACACAGGGTAGGCAACGAAGTCGGTACTTTCCACGAGCAATATCGCTACTTGCGTGACATCATCCTATCCCAGCGTGTATCCTACGAACCCGAATAGCCAATGGGCTCTTCCCGCCGGCCTCTGCATATTCCAGAAGAGTTGCACTGATCCCGCCATCAATATCACCGCGTAAAACTATCTGCTCCGCTCTCTTAGGAGTTCAATATGGACCTCCGCGATTCGCTCTATTTCGTCCGGCATCCTGAACGCGATAGCGATCATGTCATCCACCAAACGACGTAGCTCGCCCCCGACAGCCTCTGATCGGAGAATTTCGACGCGCTCCAACCCCTTCCGAAATTCCTGGATGCGACTAGACCGACGGTCGCACTGCGCCTCCAGCTTAGACCACATCTCCTATTACGGGTGTTGCGGACGGAACAACGGAACGTTGAGGGACAAAAAACGCAGGATTCCGTGACAACGTTTGGGCACGGGATCCCGGGGGAGTTGAGCAAGGAGTGGGGCAAGGAAGTTGATGGAAGGTGTTCTGGGAGTTTATTTGCCTTGCCGGCCTACCAAACGCAGCCTTCTGTAGTGCCTCAATAAATCTTCGCACCAACTGTTCCTCTTGAGATATGGCCCCCTAACTCTAACTGGTTTTCGTCAGATGTGACCACGCATCTTGTTACCCTCCACAAGATTGCTCCGCCGCGGTGCATGCCGTGCACATGTGCCACATATCGGCGTTGGGCACAGGTGACACCGTGCTTTCCACGATCCGATGAATCCAGTACAGAATGGTCGGTCTCTCCCGAGCTCACACGCCACCACACTCCTCCTGCAAACAACCACGGTGGACAACACTTGGTTTGAAGCGCGTACGCCCTGCCCAAGACGCATCGGCATACCTCGACGTACGCCATGTCTCCTTGAACGAGTTGATCGTCCACGCCCAGCTCTGCCAGGATGGTGGCAACGGCTTCCTCGGCCTCCTCCAGGCCGTCGCGGAGAGCGTAGCTCGCCTCCAACACTCTCTGCTCCATGTCCTCAGAGATGGCGCTCACCCCGGCCTCGAACGTCTCGATGGCTCGGGCGTCGCGCTCTCGCCGCTCTGCCTGTGCGTGCCGCGCGTGCGGTTGTCACGCGTGTGCGCGCCCGACGAATATTCGTTTCAGTTGGTGGTGTTGTTGTGCCGGTGTGGCTTTCGTCTAGGGTCTCGCCACAGCTGTTGTGGTGTGAGGCGGAGCGTCGCGAGAATTACTGTTGCCTCATGTATAGGGCATTGGAACTCGCGGCCGTGCGTCAGGTCAGACAGAAGGAAGGGCGTCTGTCTGCAACCAAAATGAGCCAACTGTAAACGGCAATACAGTAGTGGATTGATCTGCCGTTGAAATCCTCCTGTGAAAGAGCAAACGAGACCCTGAAGGATTGAGATCAGGAAACCGTGTGTTTTTCTTGCAAGCAGCAGATTAATTGCCGTCATTCCTGCTGAAAAATGCCGACGTTGCTTTGGCGATTGCAGGATGAAATGGAAGCTGGGCTGGGGTCGAGCGTGCTGAGGTCGGCCAAAAGGGAAGGCAGTGATAGCAACTTCGTCCGAGCGATGCTCAGCCGCGCTACGATTTCCATCCAGACCCATGGTTCACAAGGATTTGGGAAGCTATGGTTCACAAGGATTTGGAAAGACACCCCGAGCTTGCTATTTAACGAGGAGACAACAACCCATATCAACTCTCTTGGTCATTGCTTAAAATCTGCAGAGAACAACAAGCTGTCTCGAAAAGGGCCCTGTTACTTTTCAAAATACGGTTGCGAAGAGTACGTCAGAGGAAACAAAACCTTGATCACCCAAAGAAGAACACTGAAGAGACTTCAACACACCACTTTCGACTGTGGTTATGTCTGGAACTTGTAGTCTAGTCTAGTCTTTCTAGGTGGGATTTGTTTACTTTTGAAAAATGGCACTGCCTCGTTACACACGGCTGATGGGCACGGAAAGGGGAGAGCGAAGAACCGGGCAGATGCAGCCCATCCGCCAATTCTCCGTACCTGCTTCTTGCGTAGCTTCTCAAACCCGCTGCGAGGTTCACTGGGGTCCAATGGCTGATGATGCAGCGTGCGGACCTGTCATTAACCAAGGAGGTGTCGCGAGAAGGCCGAATCGAAATTGATGCATCGAAATGCACTGTACCTTGGACTCCCGTGGGAGCCCCAACTTAATCGGTATCACCCCGTCCGTATCTATCCCAGAGACTTCGTCTATTCCATGATTGCGGGTAGGTTCCTGGAACTTGTAAGACGTTTTCACGGCGAAGCAGGAATGTGCAGAGTCTGGTACGGACGTTCACACACAAACTACCGTATGTATGTCGTATAATGATACAACTTCATGCTGACTGACCTCGTCGATTTGACGGTGAGCCCCATCCTTCCGGGCGCGATGATTTGCTGAAGGGAGGGCTGGCAGCCTGTCGGGGCAGCTCCTGCTTTCTCTGCGTCCATCTGTGACACTCTTCTGAGAGGCAAGCAATGACTCGCGGCTGCTGTCGCTACCACGGCTGGTGTGATTACCCTTGCAGTACGGTGCATATGTTGTTTCTGGACGAGCGGCGACGGCCGAAAGGCCTGGACCGGATAGGGGGAGGGAGGAAAAACTCACCGACACTCCTACATGATGTGTCCCGTGTCAACGTTGATAGCACGCTAGAAGTTTCATCGCATGAAGCAGAACGCGAGGGACGATCTCTGTCAATGACACCTCTTTGTTGGAGAGCGCGATCCTAACTGTACGCTTCATGAACCACTGCGTGTATTCATTGGCGGTGTTATAAGTACTGCCAATATCAACCTTCGTAAAGCTGTGTTGGTTTAGGTGGCGAACACGGGCAGCAATTGGCGTTAAACTAAACACAAGAGAAGAGCATAGACTATACAACGAACCTTGCAACCTCCCTCCCAACATGTACTTCCTATACCCTGGACTGTAGACAAGCAACGCGTGCGGTCGTACCGGCTTGGCATTTGATGAACGGATTATTTCCGACGGTGATTCTCGGCACCCCGAGAGCACCTAGCATGCCTTGCTCCGCCTGGGCAGACGCCATAGCGGTGCTAAGACTAGGAGACATGGCGGGAGGTTAGGATGTCCAGTGACGGCCGCAGCCGCGCGGTTGCGCAGTCGAAAATGGCAGTTTCAAGAGATTGGGGGTCCGGTCGGTCACGCGGAAAAAATATGACAGTCCCGTGCGGAGGGAATAACATTTGGGAGATGCACACCCATGTACAACCGTAGTCGCGCGAGGAGGGAGATGGAGATGCACTCATCGTCGACAGTACTGCTGTGCGAACATGCATGCACCCGTTGGCTCATGTAAATCTTGGCCTGTTCAAGAGTTTCTTGGTTTCGAATCCCGGTGGTCTGGAACAGGATTCTACACTGACTGCCAAAGAGCAGCACACACATGTAGGCACCCCTCTACAGCAGTACACAGTCCACCCTACTGGCGCGTAGGTCGCATAAGATACACCGGCGGTCCAATGTCAAAGATCGATTACTCCACGATGAAGATGATGCCAACATCAAATGATACCATTCTCGGAACGATCTCGACCAGACGGATGCATTGCGGCTATATTGGGCACCGTTTCTTTTTACTAGCCGAGAGAGGTCGAGTTTTCAAAATCGGTTTGGGGGTTAACTTGCATGACCTACTGAACGCCGGTGGACAGATCTACGTCACGACGAAAACACATCCACACAAACACGTGCAGTTTTCTTCTGTTATTCCTACGGTTTCTGTCTTTAATCCCCGGAGAGTAGAGCCCAGCCCCCCACGACGCTCAGTCACAGGGTCCCAGATCGTGTCCTACAAAGAATGTTATGTTTGCCTCGGTACGGACGAGACTGGTGTCGTTTCATTGATCAGCCGGTTAGCGCGGTCGATGTTAATAAAAAGACACACATAGGCATACGCAAGGAATTGGCGCATGAAAGCAGCAAGCAAGGTGCGAAGCGGGCCGAAACGAGCACGAGTAGAAAGTACAGATGCCACGGTAGGCGTGCGTTTGGCTTGATCTGCTACCGTTTCTGTCCTTTATACAGAGAATAGCTTATTACGCCCCCTCACGCTGTCATAACAATGAAAGTCTATGACCCGGTTTGCACGTTAACCCTGCAGTGTTTCTTGTGAATGACGGAGCACGCCCCCAGAACCACACTCCACAACACAACACAACACAACAAAACACACGGTCACTCCACACATGCCTAGCCTTCCCCGTTACCCTCCCCTCACCCTGATTATGGCTTTTGCAAGGCTTTTCCGAGTTTAACTGCGCTGACGTCGTTTCATTTATCAGCCTTTAGCACGGTCGATGCCAGCAAACATGACACACAACCACACACACTTGGGTATCAGCTCCTCATGACGGGTGACGACGTGATGGTAGCAGAGAGAAACGCTCAAACGTACTCTGTTGCAAAGCCTATTTGACGGAGGCTGTTGCATACAACGAAAACCCATTGAGCACACTCATCAAGAATACGTACGGCAGGTACGAAGGCTTTTCGAAACGCTCATCAGGAACAACCAACTGTCTGTAGGCATTTTCATCTGTTGGAATATATCAGAGCGAATGCACAGCCCGAAGAAGGGCGAAGAAGAACAAGCTTCTACTGTACCCAAAAATAAACGTCCGTTGAAATCAAATCCCAGAAACGAATCGATCTTGACAATAGCGTCGTAGCACAAGTACACTACACGCGAACATGTGTGTGATACAGACACGAACGCGGTGTAGATACTATCAACTGAACTGTTACCCCTCGGTTCAGTTGTACGCGAGTCGCCAACACGGGCCAGTTCGAGGGCATGCCACACCCGATGCGCAGGTACCCGTCAAAACGCTTCCATTGCATCGCACGGAAGGGATATTCAAACTTCGGCGTTATTCCTTTCCCAGATATTCACGGATCACACCGGAATATCTATGAGGTTGGGCTTGCTGCAGTTCAATGTCTCACTATCTCACACGCACCCCATCCAGAAACCGGATAACCGCCCGAGAGTTTGACGCGGCGAAACGTCCACTAGTCTCATGTCTAGATCACCTATCGTCTATCGCACCACCTTGTCCATTTTAAAAAGCCGAACGCTTCTTCGAGAATATCATTTTCCCAGATCCGGCTACACAACAAAAAAAAAACGTGAACGATAGTTTCGAACATGTACCCATAACGTATCTTTTGTTGACTGCAAGCGCTCCGTTGAATAGGTCCGTGAACAAGGTCTCTTCACGTGTCAAGGCTAGAAACCGCCGAGAGGCAAAGGGGGCGAGTAACACCTTCAGCGCCAAAAACAAAATGCAGAAGGGGGAGGAGGAGGAGTACATCCATCCTTCCACTAATCACTCTTTCCAACTTTACCCACGGTCCCAGATTTCGAAGGGACAGCGCTATCTCAGATAAAGGCGAACGATATCCAAGGTTTTCCAAGAAAATTAAACCTTTAGCAACATATAAGCAAGCGCCGTTTCCATACATACTGCGGGCCGTGCCGCGGCGCACGTCTTTGCATAGAAATTGAGTTTGAAAAAAATTCACCAGGCCTACCTGTCGCAGCCATAAGTGTGGCGCATCAATATCGGCGACAAGGGCGGCGAAAGAAACGTGAAGATGTTGTGTCACACAATATTAAGCACGGACCGTTCGTTCCTGCAGCGCCGCTCTTTCTTGGCCAGCCTATTTCGCCAGCCTTTGATCTCTAGACCATTCTCGGTAGTCGCCGGCGACGGTGGATACGAAAGTGTTCGACACGTACTCGAGAACCTTGTTGTTAATCCCCAAGGCGGCCGACTTGACCAGAGGTTCCGGCGTCGCGGACAAGAGGCCTGGCATCTACGTAAGCGTCCCATGCAAAAATCAGGGGAATGGGGCACGGGGAGTCGTTAGCCACCACGCCTTCACAAACGCAAAAAGTGGGCGCAACATGTGCTGCACAACCACATTTGGAACCTTATCCAGTGGGGGGGCATCCAGAACGCCGGTATGTGTCCGGCGCATCGACCGGCGCTAATCAATGTACAGATTGACTTGGTGATTCAGTCTGTGCCCAGCAATTTCACCGGCCCTACACAGGGCCACCGGCACTAATCGTTGTTGACGCCCTCCTACTGAATGTTGACAACCGCCGCAGAAATATCGTGGAGGGTTCCTGTGCGTTGGCGTGGGCAACAATCAACTGAATGTTCTGTTGTCCAGTGGCTCCTTGTAAGAACCTACGCCGTGCTCGTCAGCGTGCGCGAATTGTGTGAACCACGTGCTGTCATGCAAACCTCAACCGCGGTATTCTAGGCTTGTTCCCAAGGCTGTCGGATCTGAGTAATCTCCACGACTGTTGCTGGCCATTTCGAGTGGAATTACCGAACAAGTAAGGCTTGCCTGAAACGCCAAAAACAGGTCAGGGAGGGTGCTAACCGCGACCCAAACAAACTAAAAACGACATCGATCGATCACGAGGTCTCGCCCATGTCGTAGCGGACAGAGGGATTATCTCGACCAGCAAACGCAGTTGGTGCAGCGAACTAGATCAATTCTTCGCCGCAAGCCGGACGACGCAACGAGAGGAGCCAAACATTCTGCTTCGTACCTTGCCGCCTATTGTGACTGCCACGTCACCACCCAAGCGAGTATTCTTCAGGGACAGCGCCCTGACCTTGGTTACCGTCTCCTCCACCCTCAGCTCCCCCTCCAGCTCCAAAAAGAACGTGTCCACGAATTCCTGGCGAGCAGTACCCCCGATGCATGCAAGATATTGAAAGAAAGCCGAAACAGATTTGTTCAACCACTGTGATCTATGGTCACATGCCGTCCCATCATTTCATCGAATCCACATCCTAGGATACGATGAGTACCATCAGTCGAGCGGCGGCTAGCTTTCACGGAATTTCCGTGCTACCTTGGATAACCGTCTGAATAGCACACGACGAACAGGCCACACCAGAAAAGACGGCAATATTGGCAGTGGCTACGGTGGGCGTGAAGGACAGTGAGCCCACAACAAAGACTACGTTATGTTGATTGCCTGCGATCGCGAAACGTCTTGTGGAACAATGAGCATAAAATCCACGGGGAATCCTGACAGGACACAAATGAACACAAACAAGACTGACGCTTCTTCACCGGCTAGTCGTATGACATGGGTGATGAAAAACAAACCAACACAAACCGAGAGATAAATAGATAGATACATAGATAGAGATAGAGATAGAGATAGAGATAAGAGAGAGAGGCCCATGCCATTGCGCGGGTAGCTCATGGCCTTGAAGATGATCTTGCCAGGATTCTACGTTGTACTACGCTTTTGGCGGGTATATTGTCAACGGCGTGAACGATCTCGTTATCTAAACAAGTCGATTGCCACGTCAACATCTGCTGCGACAAGTCGGAAAGATGTCAACATTTCTATCCTTGCAGCCAAAACAAAGGTCAAGTTTTGAGCTTTTCCAAAGATACAAAAAAAATCTAGAAATACCTGGCCCAAGAGCTTGGCCATGTCGTCGACCGAGTAGCCCACCGACTTGCACTGGATCGTGCCGTCCTCCGCCGTCCACAGCTGAATATCTACCGACATATCGATCGAGATCGACAGAAAGCTCTGCCCCCTGAAGGCCATCCGAAACACGCCGTCGCCCATGTCCGTGATATCCTTGTGCTCCCAGCACGCGTACACAATGCGGGAGGGGTCGCTAATGTACGCCTGCATGCTCTCCAGAGGAGCACCGGATATTGTAGCCTTGTGCAAGAGAAATGTGGGAAAATGTAACAAGCACAGCAGCGTTTGGTATGCGGGTTTCGATGATGAGTATCGAACGCGCATCCGCCGGACTCACACAATGGGACCACCAGCGAAAATGATATCTAGTGGGCAGGAGCACCTTCGAACAGGCTTGTGAGAGATGAAATTTCAAAATTCAAAGACCCCTGCAGCTACTTAAACTGGTAGATTCGAAAGAAGGCGTCTTTCCTGAAACTTTGAAGTTTTTTTTTCTGGGTCCGTCCGTATGCATGACACAACAAATCCATCTCGACGTACTCTACATACATCGAACACAGTCTGAAGATTAAACGTACCAATGAATATTCATAGCGTCACCGGGACATGCGTACCTGTATTTCTACGGTTTCCCGAGCAGCGGACAGCGGTATCTTCCCTGTTGGTGAGTGACTCAACAAGACAGTCTGGTGACCGTTTTTTCTCCCGGCAAAGAATCCGTCACGTGTGCATATGACGCATCACACACGAGCAGCCCGCGCGTACGTGGCGCACACGTACTTACACGTTGCCGAGCGGGAACACGTGACGTCGTGAGCCCGCATTAGCTATTGTTATGGCAACGATTTACAGGCTCGGCTGCTGTCGTGTGTACTTACATTCGGTGCAGAAAGTACATGAATATAACAGAGAGCACGCAATATGAAGTATGAAGGCTCCAAACCTTGGAACAGGGTCTCGCTGCTGCGCTAACGGCCAAGGCGTGTCTGCTCGGAGAATGGGGGCACTTTACTTGCTGCAACTGCTGTATGCATAGACTATGTATGCATGCACTACAGACTTTAATTTTCTCTCTGACGGGCGATGAGTCACCTCCTTCGTTCGCTGGGGTCTTTCACGCCCGTCAACACGTTATCGCGCCAGCCCTGCCTCTGCCGTATTTCTTCTAGGTTCAGCAATAGCATACACCCGTAGCAGTACCGCCGTAGTTCGTCCATAACAAAAACACCGCCCCTAACCATCACTCCTTGCTATGTGATGTACTCCCCTCTCTCCTGCTGCTGTACACGCACCTCAACGCGCTGACCGCTCCCAAACTCCACGATGCCGCCGTCCTTGAGCTTGAATTGCTCGCTCGTTTTTTCCGCTTTCGTCCTCGGAGCCGGCGCCACCGAGCTCGCCATCGTAACCGCCATGCGGCGCCGGTGGTCTGGGTGGCCTGCCGACTCAGTTGTAGACACAGCAGCAGGTCGGCAAGGTGCTGAGGCAGCGATGGGTGTCAACCCCATCCCGCCGGCGGTGTTGCTGGGCACGAACGCAGCGCACACATTCAGCAGCCCACACACCAGAGCTACCGGGGAGTGTGGTCTCAAAACCATAATGTTACAGTTGGTTAACGTGGCCACGTAGTCACTGCAGGCGATGCTGGAACTCCGATTGGTGCCCACGGAGCGAGGCGCGAGTGATGGACTCACGAACCTCTTCACCGTTTTTTTTTTTCACACCGGCGAACTCGATCTCCGATCCCGTAGATGCGATGCGGCGAAATTCGAATGTGTTGGCACTTCGTCCACATTACTCATCGTTGTGTGTTTCAAGTGTGTGTCAGCGTGCGTACTGCCGCTGCTTCCAATGCACCGCATAGGGCACGCGTTGCTTATCGGGCTAGCGAGTTTGCGGCTGGCTAGCTGCTTCATTCGAGGTCCTGCCCTTCAGCACAGGTGGTTCAGCGATCTCGCCACAAACTGCAACGACGTAAACACACCGGCGGCTTGCGTGTCTGCCGAGCGAGTTGGTTGCCCACTTTTGCTGCTGGGTATAGCACACACATCACGAGTCAGAGTGAAACAGGTGGGTGGAGTAGCCGGGGTAGTTGCCGCGCTTTGAGCTTGTCCGGTTGGTGCATTGTTGTCAGTGCTGCCAGGCTGGACATTTCTACATCCAGCACGGTCGCCTCTCCATCTAAAAAAAGCTACGATCATGTAATCACAGCGGTGTGGACCTGCTGTATTATGTGCACTGACTGCTGTGGGGACTTTGAAACGAAGTGGCGCGCTGCTATTGAGCAGAGAACTAAGTGCTGATATTCCGTGAGCTCCGCCACAAAGCAGTGGCAGCGATACCGAGACGTTGGTTTCCATGACGAGAGTGCCGCACTCCATAATTTCTGATCCAGTCCAGATGACCAGCGTAGCGCCGCAAGCTGTCGGCACGCTCAATGAAATCGCTGCCCCACAGAGATCTTTACGCTCTGCAATCCAACGACACTATTCGCACCGAACGATGCAGCAAGCCTGTTAAACCACGGCCTTGGTCGATCACGGGCAGCAGCCCCTATGCTGACTATGACAGCGATGTGATGCTTCTGGACTCACGGCAGGTTGCACACATTGTTTCGCGAGAACAGGCTTTCAACGACAGCAGCAGCGGTAGCGGCAGCAGTAGCGGTAGCAGTAGCAGCCCTGAGGCGGACTCATCGGAGGCGGCGGCGGCGGCGGCGGCGGCAGCAGCAGCAGCTGAAACCCTAGCCGACGGTGCCACGATGGGACGGGACAAGACGCTACCGGCCGGAATAGAGCTCGGGTTGGATGTGCTGGGCAGCAGCACGCAGTGGGTCGTGGCTGGTGCGGTGGGCGTCGCGCTTATAACGAGAGCCGACGTTGATACGCTGGTGTATGTATTGGGGTCCCTCATCAACGCGGTGTTCTCCAAAGTTTTGAAGAAGAACATCAATCAGGTATGAGTTCCGTGTTGCGGACGCGTTTGCCCGATCGGGTGTCAGCCTGGTGATTCACTCGCTCCTACTCTCTCAGCTCCTCAAGAGGCCCGTCTTCATGCCGATGGACGGCCGACAGCAATACTGGCTAAATGGCTTTCCATCGGGAACTAACGTATTGTCAGTGCCCCCTCGTGACAGGTGCGCCCGGAAGGGGCCCAGCTTTCAGACCCAGGGATGCCGAGCTCGCACGCCATGGTGAGTTGTTCTGAGCAGCCGCATAGAGGCGAGCAAGGAAACAAATCCTGCTGGGGCGCGGCCGTCCGTTCGTGAACACCACATTGTCCGCCTTTTGGCGACCCTGGAGCTCAACGGACCGGGTCTTGCTATCCTCCTTCCTTGTTTAATGCCTGGTGTTGCTTGGTCGCCCGTCGCAAATCGTCCCGTGAAAGGCGGATGCGGGGTCTGGAGTGGGGGGCAAAAGTCTTCCAAGCGGTGTGTCGTTGAACATTCCCCCACATTCCACTCTGATTCTGGGCCACAAGGCCAAGAAGGATTGAAGCTCTACATCGAGAACTCCTCATGAAACGACCGTGCACACGCCCACAACAGCTGACCCGCCCGCCCCCCGCCGCCTCGCAACCGTGAACCTCTCGTTTTGTGCTCGTTTCGTCGGCTCGCTCGACCGCCGTTAGTCGTTGTTTTACCTGGGAACGTACCTTGTCATTGGTCTTCAGGAGCACGGGGTGTTGTTGCTGCACCCGTCTTTGCCGTCGTGGCCTCTCGGCGTCATGCAGACGCAGACGCTACTTGGCATGTACGCCTTGACGGCCAGGTAGGGGAAGGGCAGTAGCAATGGTGCATGCTGGCGGGGGCTTGCCGCGTGTATCACTGATCAATTGCACACGTCGGGATCCAGAGGTTGCTGTTATGGGTCACACTACGTAGTTTCCATTTTTCCACGATTCGGAAAACCGAGCGAGGGCCATGGCATCGTTCGCAGGTGGATCACGAAGTTGTATTCCCGATCAACCTCCCCCCCCCCTTCCCTGTTCCCTTGTTAGTCCATCGTGCTTTGCCTCGTATTTCGCACACACGACAAACGTGTTTCATTCTCTCCCTCGCTAGAAATTTTGCAAGTGCAGCCCCCAAAGCTTTCGGGTTCCTCCTGACTCTTGTCCTGGCGTTGACACTTCCTCTGTTTTGAATTTCAGTCTTTGGAGGGTCAAAGCGGGGTTCCATACTCTTCCGCAGGTTGCCGTCGGAGCTGCGGTGGGAGCAGTGGACGCGGTACTTTGGTATCACCTCTGTCATCCTCATTTGTTGTCGCAGGCAAGACTGGGTGTCTAATGTGCTGTAGAGGTTGCTGACGTTGGGGGCAAGGAGCAGGGAGTGCTTCAGTGAAATTCAACTCGTTTTCAAGCTGTGACCGACAGCTTGGGATATCAACGAGCAAGGTACAGGGTGAGGTGAGAGTGATTGCTGGGCGCGGCGCTCTCACTCACGCGAAAAGACCTAAGTATTTTGCCACATAAATATGTGACCACGTTCCCTGACGAACCATCTCCCGCCGGTGATACTTGCTTCGATTCTAGGTGGAGACTGTCTTTGGAGGACCCAATATTCCGGTGGAGCTGGCGTTCGCTGTGTGCTTTGTTACCTTTTGGACGTTTGGAAACGCGCAACGAAAGATCTCCCAGGTTCTGGGGAGAAGGAAACACGACTAGTCATGGCATACATCTCAATTGATTATGATCTAGGTTGAGTATGTAGGTGCATTAACTTCTACTTTCTTCACAAGCATCGTGCCAAGCTTGATCATGCCTCACTTTTTTGTAAATTTCAGATGGTGCCTCCGCTTGAACTCATGAGAGATTTGTCTGCTCTTCCCCTCGATCGTTGTTCACAAGGGCTGGGGGCGTTTGCGTAATGTTTTACCGTCGTTTGACATGCCAGCACCATCGATGGCCTTGATCTGTTGTGGCGGCTCTGTGAGCCACGATTTCAGTGTCAGCCCCCTTGTTTAGGGGGTTCTCGACACAGCAGTACACATGCAACAAGCCGCCGCCCGGCTTTGGATACCGCCAGCCGGCCGCCCTCGGACCAGGGTGGCAAGCGTCCCCTTGGGGGGGGGGGGG